ATGAATGTTGTACTTGAATATATTTATCTGTTATTCATTTAACAAAATAAATTTTAATAATTTATTTCTTTGAATTAACACAAGAAAGTTAATTTTGACAATTTTTTATTACAGGTGATTATGTTGTCATGACTATATATTTCGAATTGAGTAGAAGAATGGGATACTTCACTATTCAAACATACATTCCTTGTATACTGACTGTGGTTTTATCCTGGGTATCATTTTGGATCAAAAAAGATGCTACACCAGCAAGAACAGCATTAGGTGAGTTTCAAAAAACCTTTGCTACCATTTTGTTTAATTTTAACATAGAAGTATTCATAAAAATACTTTCAATAAAAAGCCTAGCTCAAATGTAACTGATCTAATTTGAAGGTTACTTGATTCATGCTTTTTAGGTAGACAAGTTAGACTGTTCTTCCTGACAGAATTCTATGTGTGCCACTTAAAATTTGCGGTTAAACTTTATATTTCTTATCTATAACTTAAAAATTCTCAGAATTTTCCTCTGGCATCCAAAGTCCTCTAAATAAAATATTAAATTTCAGTGGTTTTAAGATTGTGATTGTGCAACATGTTGTATATGTTTTTCTTTATGATAGGAATTTTGCCTTTCTATATTTTGATTTATTAATACAGGCAATATAAAATATAAAAGTTCCCCTCAAATTTCTTTCAGAAAAGAGGGAACTGCTTAAATTGTAAAATAGTCTCCTATATTAAATTGAACATTTTCTGTTGGCTTTTTAAAATCTTTAACAACAAAGTAATTTTGAACAAAATTAACCTTTAGTATCCTCTGCCAATATTAGTTTTGCATGCTGAACAGAAAATACATGAAAGAATTAGTATATCAGCTGGCAAAGGCATAACACAAATTTTGTAACTATTCTTGAGGTTGTGACCTTAAAATTACATATTTGGGTGTCATAGCGAGCATGACTTTAATAAGTAGCTCACAACTTGAGACTATGAAAGTCCTATCATAGTGTGGCTATTGTAAGGGCTTCCCTGGTGGCGCAAGTGGTTGATAGTCTGCCTGGCAATGCAAGGGACGTGGGTTCGTGCCCCGGTCCAGGAAGATCCCAGATTCCGTGGAGCGGCTGGGCCCATGAGCCATGGCCGCTGGACCTGCGTGTCCGGAGCCTGTGCTCCGCAACGGGACGGGCCACAACTGTGAGAGGACCGCGTACAGCAAAAAAAGTGTCACCATTGTGGTATTAAGAGGATAAAGATACCAGAAATACACAGTGTTTGCAGTTAATAGAGTTACAGACCAGAAGAGTGGAGACATGTCATTAACACCAGGATATTTGGTTAAGACACCAGAATGGCTGTGCCTACTTTAGATAAAGCTTAAATCATTCTATGACAAGATCAAAAGCACCAGTAGTAAATCAATTGTAAGAAAGCATTCAACATTCTTTTAAAAAAGATAACTGTCAATACTCTTTATGAGGTATCATCTACAATATTGTGTATACAGTAAAAAATTAATAGACTTTCTAAGAATTAAGTAAATGTGACACTTGATCAAAGAAAAAAGTCAACATCAAAATGCAACTCTGGGAGGAGAGGGGGAAGGTGGTGGAAGAGTAACACGCAGAGATCACATTCCTCCCCACAGATACATCAGAAACACATGCCAAACGTGCCAAAACTCCTACAGAACACCTACTGAAGCCTGGCAGAAGACCTCAGATCTCCCAAAAGGCAAGAAACTGCACATGTTCCTGGGTAGGGCAAAAGAAAAAGAATAAACAGAGACAAAATAATAGGGACAGGACCTGCACCAGTGGGAGGGAGCCTTGAAGGAAGAAATGTTTCCACACACTAGAAGCCCCTTTGCGGGTGGAGACTGCAGGAGGAGGAGGGGAGTAGCTTCAGAGCCGCTGAGGGGAGCGCAGCAACAGGGGTGCAGAGGGCAAAGCAGATAGATTTCAGCACAGAGGATCGGTGCCGACCCAGCACTCACTAGCCCGAGAGGCTTGTCTGCTCAACCACCAGGGCTGGCGGGGCTGGGAACTGAGGCTCGGGTTTCAGTCAGAGCGCAGGGAGAAGACTGGCGGCGTGAACACAGCATCAGGAGGTTACTGCACCATGGCTAGCTGGGAGGGAGTCCGGGAAAAATTCTGTTTCCTGGTGCGTGAGGAGAGGGGATTAAGAGCTCTGCTTAGGGCTTCCCTGGTGGCGCAGTGGTTGAGAGTCCGCCTGCCGATGCAGGGGATACGGGTT